ACAACACACACACACACACACACACACACACACACACACACACACAGACACACACACACATACATTTTGACAAACCAGTTTATAAATAACAAGGATATGTAAAATGTTAAGTCTTGGTTAACTTTAACGAGTTTTTTCTTTAATGTGGACTGTTGAAACCAGCTTTTATTCCAGTACGGGGAAAAGTCCACATAATATATGTGTATCCTTGTACCACAGTTTTAATGTTAACTTTTATATATAAAATTGATGTTCACAGTGGTGAATTAAAGGATTTCATCAACGAGCTGTAGTTGTCCTAACTTGAATAATAATATGAGTTTATAAAAACATAGAACTGTATACAGAGAAGATTCTTGGTCTGACATGCATGTATGTATAAGTCACACATTTTCTGCAGTTACAGTGTCGGACTGAACTTTGTCAAACTTTGTATGAGTTAAACAACACAGTTAAAATATATTAAAACACTTCAACAGGCTTATTTTAAATATCATCAAAGTAAGAGATATTTTAAAAACATCAGTCAGTCACATGAATGCATGCGGTGTATAACCTTTAACTATTTTTAATAAAGAGTTTGCTAGTGTGTGTGTGAGAGAAAGAGAGAGAGTGTATTGGAGGATATAGTTTTTTTACAAACTTAGCAGCAACAAAAACAAGATTACATTTACACACTGAACAGCAAAACACAAACATCTCCAGAGAGACGATCCATCGAGACGTAATCGACCGAACAGATGAGCGGAGCGGAGACAGAGGGATATTGTAACTCTGACACAGTGACATAAGGTTGTCAGGGCAACATTCAGTACAGCCAAGAGGAGTTCAACTGTAGAAAGAGAACCGGGGGCAGCCCTATTTATCTTTGAGCTATCCCTCTTAATCTGCTAGATTACCAAATGTAAATTAAGGCCTTTGCCGTTGTGTTGACGTTGAAACTACGTCACAGAGACGAACTCGTGACCTCTGGAATGAAGTTTGGGGGAAACTTTGTCGGTGCTCACCACAAATCTTTTGTTCCGTGTCATCACATGAACAATGACATAGGCTACTTTGTTGCTACAGCTTGTTGGAGCAGATATTAGGTTCTGACCTCCCACACAGCATGTGGTGAAGGGAGTGTTAATGTAACCAGGAGATGGCGCCAGTGTTCAATAGAAGTAAATTAGACTGAATCTTCCTTATTGATGTCAGTCAATGGGAAGGGAAACTGAAGGTTCTGCTACAGGACAACAGGGACAACACATCTTCAGCAATGACTTTAATTTGTACAATGAATATGTGACGACAGCTCTGCCAAGCTTATTTTAATCAAAATGCTTCTATGAGGTTTTCTTTAGAAGTTTAATAGTGTTAGTAATTTTGAATTTTTGTTTGCTGCAGATTGAGGTGATGATTCATAAGTTCATCACTGTGGGCAACTCCTTTCACATGGTTGTCTCATTGCCATATGTTATTATTTAAAATTTCAACTAACAAACACTGTCCTCATCTTCTAGGGGCTATAACCGTTTCACCATGAATACAATCCTGCGTTTGAAGGTGAAGCCAAAGAACAGTTTCAGGCCTTTGATTGGATTTTCATCCACTTCCCCACGCTTCCACTTGCTTCTGTATTTGTTGTAACACCATGTAGTGGTAGGTCTACTCTACCAAGGTTGTGGTCCTTACTTCAGTGGCCCATTTTTCTGTCAAAAGGCCATGTAATCAACAGAAAACAATTACTGCCTCTCTCCGGCACTCAGAGCGCTCAATACCAGCATCTGCTCACTTCCTAATTACCTACTAGGTAAGAGGCTTCATTTGGAGAGAAACTCACAGCAATCAATCCTTGCATTATACTTGACTTGTTTGTCAGCATCCTAATGTGTCAGATTGGAAGTGTCAGGTCTGCTCTACTCAATTCTCTCTGATTAACTCTTCCTCTACTTGCATTTTATTGTGTAGTCTATCATTTTTAATGTTTGTTGTGCTTTTTCCTCTATTTTTATCCAAACTCGTAACTTGACAGGATATCAGGGTTCACTCCTCAGGCTCATATCACCAGTGTTGTCCCCACAGGCTATGCACTAACCTGGTTCTGCACTCACAACACTCTGTTGTAAATGCTTCTCCTTTGTTTAGGGCATTTTGTTCTGCTGGAATTCCACATACCTCCTTTGGCAGACAGTGCGTCATGTGGATTAAAGCAAGTTACTGTGAAGCATTGCCTCAGTCAAGCCCTAGCTCCAGCGTTGACGTGGAAGCAGTGTGTGATGATAAAGCCGTAGCGCACCCGGTCTCTGGAAATCCCTTATGTTGCTGCTGTGAGTGACTTTGTGTGTTTGCAATAGTGTGTTAGAAACAGTTTGCGAAATAAAACCTTAAAAAACACAAAACACTTGATGCAAATTATTTGTTAGGTTGAATATATGTTGGTCTTTCTGACCACTGCTTTGGTCCAGACTGAAATATGATGAAACCTACTGGGTTACATTGCCATTAAGTTTGTACAGACGTTCATGTTCTCCAGAGGTTCAGCCCAACTGACTCTGCTGATCCCCTGACTATTCTTATGGCAACAACAACAAATTGTGGTTTGGAGTGAAATATTTCAACAGCTGCTCGGTGGATTGCAATGACAGTTCCCATCCTGGCATGTTTAGCTGAGGATGAATCGTCATAATGTTCTTGATCCGTTCATTTTGCCTCTAGCAAACCATCACAACTATCTTCTATAAATCAAATGGTTCAAATTAAACTTCATTAATACATAGAGCAAGACGTTCTGCTAAGTTATTGTCCCTACAACGACACAGACAGCTGCTGAACCTCAGATGGTTTTAGTCAGTGGTTTTCTGTCTCTTTTACTCTCTGTCTGAGCAACACTCAGAAAACTTGATCTGATTCTATTTCTGTTCCGAAACATCTTGAAGATGGAGGAAAAGTAAACGGGGTCCAGAAGAAAAAGCGGCACCAGTCTGATGTTTTCCGTGGCAAAGACAGGCTACAGGTGATTGGTTGAATGGACAGCAGCACTAAAATCCTCACTATAAAGTGTCGGGGGTAAACAGCTACGGCAAGACTTGCTTTCCAAGTTCTTTAAAATTGATTTGGGAATCTTCTGCAGCAGCTTTTCAAGTGTTATATTCAACAAAACATTTCTTTAAAACTGATTTGTGAAAAGAAAAGATAGGCAACAACTAAAAAGTTGGGTTCTGTTGCCAGACAACAGAGCATGTGACAGGTTGTAGAAACATCATTTTTCACACTGCATTTCTTCCGACAACAAGTATGGATGCACCACATGACGTACAGTATCACAGCTCAGTGTTTATAAGCTCCAACATGTCCTGAAGTGAGCCTGCCAGACACGGAAAAAGTGCCATGAGGTTGCTCCCCCTTTCTCTTCCCTCCTTGTTATGTAATGGTACTGTTGATGGCTGGCATCATTATCGGCCCTATCTTTGCCAGTCTAAAAATACTGTTTAGGACTCCAAC